CTTTATATTTATGGGAGGTATCTGCACATGGCGATGCTTTCATTATTTTGTATAGTTCCTCTTTTTTGTTGGCAGACTTTATCAAACCTTTAGTTATCCAGGGATTCCTGCTTGTGTCAAAATGTTTAATTTTAACTCTGTTTTGTACTACATTCAATTAAATATTTTAGGCGTTCAATGAGTGTGTTTGCAGCATCATTAACATTCGTTGCACAGTACACTGCTGTCCATGATTCTAATTTGATATTTGCAAGTAGTTTTTTATTATCGACAAAACACCTAAATTTCACTGTTTCATTATTGGAGATGGATCTACTTTTATTTTTTTCTGGTGATGATATAAGTATTACAGTGGGTAAATAATCGGTAATATGGTTTTCAACAATTAATGGTATGTACCGAAAGAAATTTTAAAAAATTTTTGATGAAACGATGATCAATGCAAGAACTGGAACTATTATTCACTACTCTTGTTGGTAAATTTATATTTGATATGAATCCATTGCTCTGCATTACAGTGAGGTATTTGTTTACCAATTTGGTATGTTGGAGTATATTCATATTCATATCTCCTATTATGATGTGGTGTGACTGTATGGCATTTTTGTTATCTAACAAAAATGTTTCAAGATTTTCTACAAATGCATAAGGGTTTGATGATGGTGGTCGATAGACAGATGTGACTTTTACACTTTTGTTATTAATTCTCAATATCAAATCCAACACTGTGATACCGTCATCAAATTTAACAAAATCACATCTGTAGTTGATATCATTTCTTACATATACTACCACCCCATCATTCTGGTTGTACGTACCATTATTGTAAAGCGTATCATAACCTTCCAAACAGAACAAAGATGCATCATTAATTTTCCAAGTTTCTGTTAATATTATTATATCAAATTTGTGTTTAATTGTAGTTAGGAAGATATTAAAACAGTCAAAATTTTGGTTTAGGCTTCGTATATTCATATGATATAAGCTAACATTGAAATTAGAATATTCTAACCATTTATTAAGAGCATTTGCGTCTTGAGCAATATTTGTATCGATATCATTAACCTGAAAATTATTTACGTAACTATCCATGTAAAATTTTGCAAATGATATGTAGCTCGAAAAACGTAAAAAGAACTAAACGCTCAAAACATTATTCTGGATGAATACTGTTTTTGAAAATATAAATACGACGGGCATTTTTTGTCTGTGGGCGAGTGACCAACATCATTATTCTTATTATGCTTAAGTAAACAAGAAACGAGAAAAAATATGATGTTCATCATAAGAGCCCAAGTAAATTTTATATGGATACCCTCAGGCAGATAACGTTCATACTTCATAGGATCATATTCTGCGCAGTACCTTGAACATTGAACATATAGAAAACGCACTTCTAAAAATTGTCTTCAGATCACCATATACAGGGTGGCGCATCGAAAACGAAACAGACGCATCTGCTAGCAGCTCAGTTTTTTGTTGGAAAAACGCTCAGACCGGTCGATTTTGTTTTCGAGGGGGACACAACTTTGGCAAAAAATCACGTTATCACGTGCAGCCCCCTGGGCAGGGGTGTCACCAACCCTAAAATCTTAAATGGGAAGGGGGGTCGAGTGATACCTTATTTTAAAGGTCTTTCAATTCCCTTTATAATGATATATAATTAATGTACTTCAGTAGTTTTGAAGATTTATTGATTTAAAGCTTAAAGTAGACTTTAATAGGTACATCAGATTAGTTTGTACTGCTTTCAGAAGAAATTTGACTAAAAGAATTTACTTAATAAGTAAATGCTTTTCTTCACTATGCCCATGGTTTGTTTATCATTTTATTGCTGAAAATAGCTATTGGAGCGTTTTTTGTGGCAAAAAAGTTATTTCTTGAAGAAAGATAAGAAATTATCTCGTACTTATTTTAAATAGGAATTTAGTACGTAGTTTGCGATTGATTTGATCAAACTTTGTTGCTAAAATAACTTGTAATGCTTTATTACATAAATTAACCATGGTATATTCCACAGCAGAAAGAGTTGAAATTATCGAAATATTTTTCATCATTTTTCACAAATAATCATTGCGCTAATAGAACAGCAGAACTATTTAATGAGCATCATGAGAACAGTAACGTGCATATAAAAATTTGTTCTAGAATTATCAATTTTATTATAGTGATAAAGGGAATTGAAAGACCTTTAACATAAGGTATTACTGGACCCCCCTTTCCATTTAAGATTTTGGGTGAAGTCACCACCGCTTAGAGGGCTGCACGTGCTAACGTGATGTTTTGCCAAACTTGTGTCCCCCTCGAGAACAAAATCGACGGGTCTGAGCATTTTTCAAAAAAAAAACTGATCTGCCAGTAAATGCGTCTGTTTCGTTTTCGATGCGCCACCCTGTATGTAGACATATTCGGCATGACCGCTTCTCCACGCATACGATAAAGGTTTTTCAACTTTTCTAATCTAAATAGGCACAAAACCCTTATCAACGAGCTCTCCCTAACTCCCTTATAACTGCAGCGTGACTACGCCATGAAGGCTTTGTCTATTTTCTGAAGTATCATAAATAATAAGAGAATGCGAGTTACAGACGCAATCCCGCAGAAGTAGGAGAATTTGTCGCTTGAACTGGCATGTTATGAAACCCTTGATTCTCACGAGAAAAGCTACGTGTGATTCTACGGGGAGCATCATAAAAGACCATTGGTGTACGCTTAATGCGCACAACGTCAACATACCTCGTCGCAGCGGCTTTAGACACTGTTTCAAAAGGAAAGTGACACTACACAAAATGTTCCGGTTCTCAAGACAATGTGAAGGGTTGAAAGTGGACTGAGTTCTTGAGAGATGAATCGGGTTCTTGCTGTAACCTAAAATAAACAGTAGTTACTAAGATGCATCCGATTGCAATACAAGCGACTCTATCAGACATGCTTTGGTCAAGCAAGAGGCTGGATCAATCTTAGTTGATTGGATTCCATTCACTCTGGAGAGTCATGTAGCCACAGCTATGCCGAATTATGTTTGTTATAGCGCTGGGTACTGCATGGAGGTCCGTAAGGTGGGATTCTGTCACCCTTATTGTGGTGTCTCGTGATGAATAACCTTCTCGCAATTCATTGTGAGCTTGCTTACTTTGGATCCCCAGAATGTTGAGGGCTATATTCAAGTTTGCTAGAAGGGCGAAGCTTGAGGCTTACGGAATGTAGTGGTGCATAAGGGTCCCTTATATGGCCTATACGTCGGCTCCTCGTGGTAGCCGATATGCCTCTAATTTCATTAAATATATTTATACTAAGTGACATATAAATCCGAATACCCAGTTTAAATGGTTTTATTTTAATAAAAGTTGGTGAATGTATTTATCTTACTGTAAATAACAAGTGAAAAAATTTTCAGCCTTATCAGTTGGACATTCCGGTTTTTATACTGCTTTTTTTTAATTCACTAACGCTCTAAAAATGAATATTTCAGCCGCAGTAAAGAATCAACGTTGGCGGATTTTGGTTCTTGACATCCTTTACGATCGGTTACGATGCCTAGAGTACGGAGACCTGTACGATTTCGTCAACTTAGTGATTTTGATAGGAGCCGTATAGTGGGACTTCGGAAAGCTGGACTTTCTTTTCGGGCAATTGCAGTTAGAGTGCAAAGAAGTGTAGACACTGTGGTTAGGTGTTGTCAGGCATGGCTTCGAGATGGCCGTACGCAAAGAGCAAGAGGCACTGGACGCCGCGGTAGAACAACAGACCGTGAAGATCGTCGCCTAAGATTATTGGCCTTAAGGGACCGTTTCTCCACTACCAGGTCCATTGCAAATGAATGGTTTGCAGAACACGGAAGACCTATTGGCATGCGAAGCGTTTACCGACGAATGAGAAGTTTTGGCTTGTTTTCATACCGACCACACTGGGTCCTCCCTTTAACTCGAGAACACCGACGTAATCGCCTTGAGTGGTGCAGACAACGGTCACTCTGGGATTAGGAATGAAACAGTATTGTCGTTAGTGACGAGTGTCGATTTTGTTTAGGCATGCACGATGGTCGTGCCAGGGTTAGAAGGCGACGTGGTGAAAGGAGGAATCCACAGTTTTTTGTTGAAAGACATGTTCATCACACTGTTGGAGTTATGGTTTGGGGTGCTATAGCCTATGGTTCCAGGTCACCTTTAATCTTCATCAGAGGTAACATGAACGCGCAGCGTTATATCCACGAAGTTCTAGAACCCCATCTTTTACCCTATCTTGACACCCTGGCAGATCCAACTTTCCAACAAGATAATGCCCGACCACATGTTGCAAGAGTCACAATAGACTTCTTTCAACATAACGATGTCACATTGTTACCATGGCCAACAAGATCTCCCGACTTATCCCCAATTGAGCACGTGTGGGATATGATGGGTAGGAGATTGCTCAATTTGCAACGTCCTCCTCAGACTCTAGAAGCACTTCGAGAGGAATTGGTGGTTGCCTGGAATGAGATACCACAGGAGGACATTGACCACCTGATCAGAAGCATGCCTAGCCGCGTTGGAGAATGCGTAGCACATCAGGGTGCATCCACACATTATTAAAGGTCAAAGGGCTTTAAAGCAGTGCAATCATTTTGAAATTTCTATCATTTACTTATTATGCTTCATTAAGTACTTATACAAAATTTTATTAAAATAAAACCATTTAAACTGGGTGTTCGGATTTATATGTCACTTAGTATATTTGTTAAAATATAGGCCATATAACTTTTTCCAAACAAATATTCGCGAAAATCTTTGGTATGAATCTAATAAAAGAAATTATCATACAAATAAAAAGTAATGGACCATCGCGTCTTTCTATAATATCGTTAACCTTAAACCGCTTTGCGACGGATTTAGCCATTAGGGTTCTTTCTAAATTTCCATAAAAACATAGACATAACCGATGCAGAGGCGTAGAGCTGGAACGATAAGCCATGCTCAAAACCTTAATTTTGCACAGGACGCAAAAATAATATTGCAGGAATGATGTTTTTTCAATTTGACAGCTCCCACGATTGGAGCTGGGAAATTATATGAAACTTGAAATCACTGGTACACTTAACATAACCACGTATTTAGCGGTTATTGCAGATTTAACGTACCATAGTATATGTAATTCTTCAGAAAACAAATCTTGGATGAGGCGCTTTTTATATGAAAATTTTCCAAAATACTATTTTCAGCAATACCCAGACGCCAAATATTAACACAGAACAAGTTGGAGAATAGACCACAGAAGATTGATTGTTGATCACAGGATGGAATGGATGCGAATTTTGACAGCGCTGCGTTGCCATATTTCGCCACCTGAAAGGTTATGGTATAGTCACATCGTGGTTGACTGTGATTTGAAATATATTAACATGTGAGTCATACACGTTAGAGCTAAAAAGTTTTATGATAATGAGAATAAAAAAATAAAAAGGTATATTTGCTAAAAATCTAAAGCAGTGGCATGTAGAAATAAATGACAAATTGATAAACAATTGTCATAAAACTTTTGAGCTCTAACGTGTATGATTCACATGTTGATATACGAGCTCCTTCCCACTTCAGTTGGCCCACTTCAAGATTTGTTCCAAAATATGCCTATAAACTAAAAATGACGAAACTATTTACTTCTAAAACAATTTATTTTCTAAAAAACATTTTAGATACACGCTAGTCGTAAAAAATACATATTTGAAATCACTGAGACCCATAACTAATAGAACATCTGAACAAATAAAGAATGTGCGAATAAATGCGCGAAGTTAACAAAGCAACAATTGAAAGATTACCATTGGGTAACATCACCTTTATTTTTTACTACAGCTGAAATTCTTTGGGGCATAGTGTTAACCAAGTTTTGGCAAACATTTGGTGTAAAACAATCCCATATTTCTTGAAGCTTTTGTCTCATTTCGGTGATTGTACCAGCAGGATGTTGTCGTAGAACCTTTTTCATCTCTTGCCACAAAGTTTCAATAGGTGACAGATCTGGGCTGCTAGAAACCCATTTCAAAAGCGGTAAATTATTTTCTTCCATCCAGTTTATAGCCTTTTTTGAGGTATCGCACGCTGCACCATCTTGCTGAAACCCAAAATCTTGGCCGGATGTCAAACATTCTTCCATCACTGGAAAAAGCGATTCTTCTAAAATTGTCAAAAGTATTTTATTTGTCAATAATTGCAGTAATTTGTTATTCGCAAAACAGTAATAGTGCGCACTATTTGCCGTCTGTCCCCGATCATACCACTGGACCCCCCCAGAGCATATTGCCGACCGGACCCTTTTCCTTAAATCCGCCACTGATCCGTCAAAAAGTATTTCTTACCAAATTTGCTCACAGATAACGGGCGCGCGAAGAAGTTTTTCCTACATCACGCTGACCGCATAGGCAACCAGTCTTGCGCTATCATCTATGAGCTTACAGTTAAATCAAAGTTGATGGATGCAGTGCTGCCAGTGCTTAGTAGAAAATACCAGTACGGCATCCATTTAATATGTGTGCATTACAGATTTATCTAAGAGATTTAGAACTTTAAAATAACCCCCATGACCTCCCCCCTCCTTGGATCTGCGCCTGCGGCAGCAGCTAACAATTGGAACTGCAAATAAATCTCAGCTCGCATCGACATCGAGTCATCACTATGACCGCTTGATGCCGTTGAATCTGGCGATATAGTGGATGAAGGTCTACTCACCATAAAAAACTAATAAGACTGTGAAGAGAGTATAGTGCTGTTTCATGCTTATTGTCATCATCAGCAACGAATCCAGGCTAAGCAGAAGTGGTCAAGGATTTGTTTGTCTCCTGGTTCTCATAGCCTGTAGTGAGGATCAAAGTTCACTTGACATAAGTCAATTATTTTCCATTTCTTTGCGATTGCTTGTAGATAATTGTGGTGTTAGTAGACACTGTACGCCTTTAGGCCTCCTTGATTTTCATAGCTTTTCCTATCCTTGAGAAAGGCAGGGGTATTTCTAGGTTTCTGCTGTTTCTTGTCAGCGTTCTATGTTATTTTGAGGTTATATTATCTTTTTGAAGTCTAAGAAATTTCTCAAGATTGAAAAAAACAGAACCTCACAACAGGAGAGTGGTGACGCTGACAAGGAACAGTATAAAGTTAGAATATACCCCAGCGTTTCTGAATAAGAGAGAAGGCTATGAAAATTAAGGAGGCCATAAAGGCGTCCTACAATTATTGTAGGAACGACTGGCGATACGGCCCTTAGTGACAAGCAATACAATATAAACATGACTCTTTCTAATCTATTCGAATTTGTTGGACGATACAGTAGATGTAAATTTACTCACCATTGAAAACTAAAAATACTGCCAATCGTTTACAGCGATGTTCCATCCTTATTGGCAATCATCAGCACGGTCTTGGTCTCGAAAAAAATCACAGCAAAGGTATCTTTCATCAGCGGTATAAGACATTTTGATCTGCTTTCATTCATCGTCCTACCTAGAGACCTAGACAGCTGTGAAAATTGTCAATAAGGATGAAACATCGCTGTACATGGTTGGTATTCTGTTGGTCGGACGGACGAAAGAATTGTTATTAATAAACTTCATATTCAGATACAAAAGTGGCCAGTACGGTTGATCCAACGACATCACGTAGCTCATTGCATCTGCCATAAAATCTGAATACTACTGCTTCAGGGACGCCACTGCAAGCACTGCCAGAATGATGAATCTATCTGTTGTGTTGTGACGCGAAACCGAGAGCAAAGTAAAAGTCAATCTCCCACAAAAGAGACGTGCCCGGAATTTAAAACTCGTTTTCCGTTATTAATCCCGGTAAGAAACGTGCTTGCTCCTGGTTCTTTTCCAAAACAACTTTATTAGCGTAAGGTATACCGGAAAAGTTTTGAGGCGGGAATTTAAGTAATGGGTACAGTCCGAATGTAATGACGCTTGTACTTTGAGTCTAAAATACGTACACGGTGTTAATTATGTACTAGTATGTACCGGAAATTTACAGACGATCCCTTGAGTAATTTTATACAGGGTGGCGCATCGGAAACGAAACAGACGCATTTACTGGCGGCTCAGTTTTTTTTTTGAAAAACGCTCAGACCCGTCGATTTTGTTTTCGAGGGGGACACAAGTTTGGCAAAAAATCACGTTAGCACGTGCAGCCCCCTAAGCGGCGGTGACACCACCCCCAAAATCTTAAATGGAAAGGGGGATCGAGTGACACCTTATTATACAACATTTTGAATACTTATTGAAATAAATTAACAAAAATAAAGATTTTTCTAATTTTCTTAAAAACGAATCGACCGATTTAAAAAAATCAATCGCCAAAATAATGGACTTTCAAACAAGCTATCATTCGATACCCCTTATAGTTTAACATTTTCAAGGGGATGACCCTGAGAGGTAGAGGTGAAGTTGTCCCTCTCGACAAATCTTTTGACGTGTCTCAGCGTTTTTTATTTTAAACAGTGGTTTTGGATAAATGCGTGATGGGAAGTTTTCAAACGAAAACCCTGTATACACTCATACATATACAGGGTGTCCCAGAAGTCGACGTCAAGCCGAAACCGGGTGATAGGCAAAGTCATAACAGCTATCAGAAAAATATTTAAAAAAAATTTTATGTATGTGTTTTGGAAATTATAGGTCTTTGAAAAAGATATAGAAATTTCACACCCTACGGCAGTCTGTCAACTCCTGTTACTACAAATATTAACTTTTTTTGGATTTTATTTTTACAAGGTAATGATGAATAATGCATCTTCAAACTGGTGTCTCAACCTTACTGCCAACTTTTCTCGTTCAGGAAAAATTGCCACTTATTTCCCAACCAAGTATTCCAAAGTAAAACTTTCCTCAACTTTAACTGGCTGTACTGGAAAAAAATGTACCACGAGAGTTTGGCAAGTAACCTTAAAAGTTGGCGCATTTAATAACAATTCCAAAATGGTATAACACGCTGTACGCGGTATGGATGGAGCACGTTTTTTTGCAAGATTCTATGGGCTGTACTTTTGGGTACACCTGTTTTTAGTTCTATTGCACGCACTGAAGTACTCGGGTCTTCTTCGACAGCTCCTAGCACCACGTATTCGTAAGGAAGGAAAGATCTTCCCTCACCGTGTGATTGGTTTGGTAGTTGGCCCTCTGAGAACAGTAAGCGGTGCACATTTGTGAACACTCGATGATCTGGATGACAAGCTGCATTCAGGAACCTCTCACAGTAAAGTCTCGCTGCAGCACTAGCGTTGCATCTGCATTCCCCATAAATGAGGTGCATGTTAGCATATTCTTGTACGGTGTACACGGACATAGCGGCACTGCACAATCACACTATCAAAGATAGTCTAAGGAAAGCAAATGTTGTTTTGAAGAGCAATTAAACAGTTCAAATCCAAATCACAAGCGATCAACAGTCCAGATCACGAATCCAAAATTAATAATAGTACGAAATCAACAAGCACGAACATGTAAAGATGCACAGTAAACGAAGGAGTACTGATCGGTATCAAAGTGTGCAATAGCAAGTAAGTGATGTGCTTCATCCATACCACATACAGCGTGTTCAACCTCTCCTGCCCCGGGATTACGAGCCCCGAGTTGCTTTTTGTCGCACAATGTTAGAAAGACACAGGAAAGATCCACAGTTCTTTGAAAAAATTTTATGGTCGGATGAGACCACATTTAAGAAAGATGGGTACATGAACCTGCATAACTTACACGAGTGGCACGTAGCAAACCCACATTTGATGAGAGAAGGTAAATCTCAATATCGCTTCAAGATAAACCATTGGACAGGAATTTTAAATGGTAAAATAATCGGTCCGTTTGAGTTCCCAGAGACTTTGACTGCTGAAGTTTATTTGGATTTTTTGAAAAATCAGGTACAAAATTTATTGGTGGACGTGCCACTGAGTATTTACAGGGACATGTGGTTTGAGCATGATGGCTGCCCAGCGCACTATGCACTCTCAGTGAGAGAGTATCTCGATCAAAACTTTCCAGGCAGATGGATAAGGCGGTCTGGTACAATACCGTGGCCAGCCCGATCACCCGATTTGAATCCTTTAGATTTTTTTACTGGGGAACTGTAAAAGAAAAAGTGTATTTCAAGCCGATTCAAAATGTAGCTGAGCTACGACAAAGACTATTGGAAGCAGCTGAGTTTGTTAATAACCGTGGATTCGCTCGTTTAATAACTCGATCTTTTTCAAGATGTCGAGCGTGTATTGCGGCTGAAGGAAAATCATCATCAGCAGCATTTTGACGCCCACTTTTGTGCAAACAGTTATCCTTGAGGGTCCTTGTGCGTTTTCATAATCGCTGTTTAATTAGGAAATTTTGAAAAATTTTCATCAGTTTTTTTTCAAATAAAAATTGTGCATAAGTTAACGAGTAATCTTCTAAGTGTTATACCATTTTGGAATTGTTATTAAATGCGCCAACTTTTAAGGTTACTTGCCAAACTCTCGTAGTACATTTTTTCCAGTACAGCCAGTTAAAGTTGAGCAATGTTTTACTTTGGAATACTTGGTTGGGAAATAAGTGGCAATTTTACCTGAACGAGAAAAGTTGGCAGTAAGGTTGAGACACCAGTTTGAAGATGCATTATTCATCATTACATTGTAAAAATATAATCCAAAAAAAGTTAATATTTGTAGTAACAGGAGTTGACAGACTGTCGTAGGGTGTGAAATTTCTATATCTTTTTCAAAGACCTATAATTTTCAAAACACATATATAAAATTTTTTTAAATATTTTTCTGATAGCTGTTATGACTTTGCCTTTTACCCGGTTTCGGCTTGACGTCGACTTCTGGGACACCCTGTATACAGGTCAAGCTAACAAAAGCGTATTA